TGTTGTTGGGGGCGATATGCTGACTCTGTAAACCGCTTAGAGAGGGCTGAAAGCCCTATGAAGCGGTATATAAGTCTAACTCCTATTGCTATTGCCAACTAAGGTCTGACTTAATTGTAGTATACAAAATTGTCTGCTAGAACATAATACCTATCAACGATTTCTTCTTCAGCTTCAACCTCAATAATATACGGGCAAACAATCGATACAAACTCAAGGTAAACCTGCTCCAAACTCGATTGCAGAAAATACGACTTCAGCCACAGAGGGCTCAACGCCTGGAATGCTCTACTTGACTCTGTTGTTACATCCTCAAACCCCCCACAGCTTCAACCTCAAACTGTCTACCGTGGATCTCCTCACCCCATTCCTAAGAGGTCCGCAGAGGGGGCGTGCATAAGCGCACCAGTGTTCCTACCGTCTCTGTCCCACTGTCCCCTGCTGTACTCATTTCCCTTGATCATGTCCATGTCCATACTCCAACCTGTCACCTTGTACATGTTTGACAAACCGAATAAAGTAAATAAAAATAAATAAAACCGCTTAAACTCTAACCAGAGAGAGAGAGAGAATACAATTAGCAATAGCGATAGCCCTTCGACTTATATACCGCTTCACAGTGCTTTACAGCCCTCTCTAAGCGCTTTATAGAGTCAGCATCTCCGCCCTATAATCTAGGTCTTCATTTTACCAACTTTGGAAGGAGGGGAGGCTGAGTCAACCTTGAGCCAGCCAGGATCAAACTGCCGGCAGTGGGCAGAGTTAGCCTGCAATAGTGCATTCTAACCACTGTGAAGGGAGGGAGGGAGGGAGGGAGGGAAGGAAACAAGGAAGGAAACAAGGAAGGAAGGAAAGAAATAAACAAGGAAGGAAGGAAAGAAGGAAGGAAATAAACAAGGAAACAGGAAGGAAGGAAGGAAACATGGAAATATGGAAGAAGGAAGGAAGGAAACGAGGGAGAACGGTAAAAGGAAGGAAACAAAAAGGAATGAAGGAAATAAACAAGGAAAGAATGAAAGAAGGAAGGAAAGAAGGTAGGAAAGAAGGGAGGAAAGAAGGAAGGAAAGAAGGAAGGAAACCTGGAAACATGGAAAAAGGAAGGAAGGAAAGGAGGGAGAGAGGTAAAAAGAAGGAAACAAAAAGGAAGGAAGGAAAGAAACAAGGAAAGAAATACACAAGGAAGGAAAGAAAGAAGGAAAGAAGGAAGGAAAGAAGGAAGGAAGGAAGGAAGGAGGAAGGGAGGGAGGGAGGGAGGAAGGGCAATAGCAATAGTGCTTAGACTTATATACCAATTCATGGTGCTTTCCAGCCCTCTCTAAGCAGTTTATAGAGTCAGCCTCTTGCCCCCCTATAATCTGGGTCCTCATTTTACTCACCTCGGAAGGACGGAAGGCTGAGTCAACCTTGAGCCTGGTGAGATTTGAATTGCCAAATTGCAGGTAGCTGGCAGTCAGCAGAAGTAGCCTGCAATACCCCATTCTAACCACTGTTGCTTTTCTCTGCACTCTTTCCAGAGGCCCCCCCACTTTTTTTTTTTTTACGTTTGCTTTTTTTTTTTTTTATGTCCACTCTCTATGCACCAAAGTCAAATTCCTTGTG